TACTATAGTCAAACACCAAAGCTTGTTTACACTTCCACTCCTAAAGTTGCACAATCAGTATGAAAAATCGGAAATAAATAGCTGCATATATCATACCCAATGATGCTACGACGAGGTCTACATGTGTTTGTCTTTTTTGGGCCATTGTCATCATCATCTTGATCATTATCAGTTGTTTCTGCTGTTGTCGTGAAATTATAACTTTCACAAAGTTGCATATCATCTACAAAAACAAAAGAATGTAACCATTTGCATTTTTATGGCCTTTTCTAGCTCAGTGGTGTCAAGTAACAAAGTAACTGTACTTTGTTACTGTACTTGAGTACTTTTTGAGAAGTCAATGTAAGAAAATGTAACAAAGTAAACTTTTTCTGGAGTACTTTTACTTGGAACAAAGTCGTTTTAAGAAGTACAGTAACGTTTTACTTCGTTGTTTTCATTTTGTGACGAAGTATTTCGTTACTTTCTAACTTTTGTTCAATTTGACGTGATTTATTCTGGATTTATTTTAATTTTGGGATAGGTAATAGGACGTGTACATGCGTTTTCTTTAAAGTGGTAGGTACTATTAAGGCAGTAACAGTTATATCTTACCTGATCTGAATTTAACCTTAACAAGAGGAAAGCTGTGCCATTTAGATGATGGTACTCTTTGCTCCGATCTTGCTCGTAGAACATTAATTCTATTTGGCCACCTTACATTCTCGTCCTGGACCCAAACCTCAGGAATCACACCCTCTTCCTCAATGCCATCTTCTAACTAAACTGCTCTCACCCACATTGACATTGTTCAAAGCCTGTTCAAACAAATCAGCCTATTCTACATTATGCAGGATGTACTGTAAGATATGCCTAAAAATATAACATACCATTAAAACTAGCTTCAGACATTGATTGTGTCATGTCCGCTCAACTTCATGAAGTAATGGATAAAGCACATATCCAGCATCACAAGGAAGGCAAACAACCTTACAAACTAGGTCATCCCTCTCAACCTATTGTCGTTTAGATCCTTGAGTGATGTCTCTTGCATATGCAATGGAAAAAAGCTTAGATTGAGCTGGGGTTTCAAAGAAACATTGGGTCTGGCATTCTGATAATGTATCACACACTAAAGTTCCATTATCTTTCACCTCCTTCACAAAAGCAAACTTTCTGTCAGCAAGTAAGAAGCAATGGTCTTTCTCTTTGGTCGAAATAACTGTGAAGTGCTGTTTGACTGCACATTTTGGGTTGTTGACAGTAATTTCTCCCAACCGCTTTGCAACTTGCACCAAAGGATTGCCAGCACTTCGAACTAGTTTTTTCAGTTTTTGAAGAAAATTCCGAAAACAGGATGTCTCATTGAGAGAGCACTGGAAGAAACTCACATCCTCATGGAGATGCAGGAGACCATGCACATTGTAGACTGTAAATGTTTCCCCATAGACTGCTTTGCAATTCTTCACAAAGAACTGCATCAATTGGCGTGCATAGTTCAAAAGTGAGTTGCGTCTATCTTCATTAATTTCAAGCATTATGGAAATAGCGATGGATAATGAGAGGAAATGCTGATAAAGCTTAGTGGAGACTACACCTTTCAAAGCAATGGGGCCAGTATACAGCAAAAATTGCCGAAACTCGGTTGCTTTCCATCTCTCAAGCTCATCCAAGGAACTCACTTGGCATTTTCCCTTTTAATGAGAGAAGGTTGGCAGATATTTGGGCTAATTGCACTGAGGAAAGTTTACATTCTCTGGGGCCATTCTTCAGAAAGTGAAGAATTCTTCGAGTCACACCCAAGCATACCATATGCATATAATCGAGAGGAAAACCATTAATACATGAAACACCATGACAAATAAGAGGTGTTTGTCCTTTCTAGTGAGCTTCATAATCATAGTTGGCAAGTGCCTCCAGTGCACAGAGTAGCAATGTCACCGGAGTTAAAACCAACACGGCCTTTCCACGATCACTTCATTTGACAACGCTCACACGAAAAATAACCAGTGTGACCAATAATAGCCTTCAAGAAACAATGGGACGGTGCATCACATGAAAAGCAATGCAATTCGACTTTGTAGGTCTTCGACCCAAAAGTAATTCCTTCTTTCTTCAATGCATCAAGTTCCTGAAGGAAATCATCCATATATTCTTCTAGGGAACTTGGTTTGGTTTTTCCATAATTTGGTTTTTCCATTAACCCATTGAGTCGCAATTTTGCACCCTGATGCACGCTACTTTATTATTTTACTGTCTAACGCCAGATTATTTTACTCTGTCTAATGCCAGATGATTTTACTTGTGAAGGGGAGATCTAGATCTGGTGCTTAATTAACAGTTAAGATATCTATTAGATATCTTTAACTCTTTCTCGACCTACCTGTTTCGCATTACAATTAAACATCTATTACATCATTCTATTTAATTATTTAAAACTATCTATTAGATATCTTCAGACATTATTACATCATTCTATTTGATTATTTAAAATCCAGACAGTGGACACTGGACAGTGTTTAATATTTGGATTCAGTATTGTATGTATGTGATAATAGATTGCAACTTTTTGACAGCATTAGTATCTAAAAGGATGGCTCATTGTTACAGTTTATACCTCAGTTGAATGCTTAGTTTATGCCAAAGTTAATTCAGAAGAAGAGCTTTTTAAGCTCAGGCTTTGTGTCTCTTAGGCGAGGTTTTGTATCTAATAGCTTGGTCACAGTTGTTGTTATTGAACAAAATTGGGACAAACAGACCTAAATTGACTTTAAAATAAATGCAAATTGAACGCTTTTATATTGTTTTAAAAGCGTGCATGTCAGAAATGCGGATAATTAAATTACATGTGTGTCGTCAAATGTAATATGTGCTATTGAGACCTCAAAAGTTCAAAACAAACAAGCTCTTCTATTTCTCACAAATTTTATTTGCCAGGCCTATAAAGTTTAATTTACAGCTTGTGTTATTGAAGAATGAGCCGATCATTCCTCAAATGCCATATAGGCCATTGCCATTATTATAATGTTTATAGCCAGAATCTCAGAATTGGATGTCCACTAGGCAGCTTTTATGTCATTTTAACTGTGTATTTGGTTAAAATTAGAATGTTGTTTTTAGGGTTTGTAATCCAACTGAGTAGATATACATTTTAAGACCTGACAAGGAACGACTGCAAAAAATGCAGCACAAGGTCCTCTGGTAGGAATTGAACTTACGGCCCTAAACCAGATTATTTAAGTCCACCCAGGTCTGAAATTTGATGTTTTTTTTAAGGATCCACATGGATACCAAGGTTTTAAAATTTGGTATCCCTCCCGATAATCCAGTATACCAAATCTGGATACTTAACTACTTGGCTTTTCGTATCCCGGGCCCAGACCCAACATCACTCTAAGGCTTACTCTTAGTCAAGCATTTTCATCCATCACATTTTATATACTAGAATCCTAAAAGGAACTTATACAGTTCAATTTCTTAACAGTTAACAGGGTTATTTAATTATTACAGTCTAAGTGTCAACTTCACTGATATTTAATGCTATCAGTATGCATGCAAATGCGAACTACGGGAACTACAATGTCATTATTATCATTATTGGCTGTATCATCATGGATTGTAAAATAACTCATCAGGAGTTTTGGTGGTTTTAATTCAATATTTTAACATAACATCACAAGAATGCATGAATTAAATATGAGTATTTTTAGTTCATGTTGGCAAGCAAAAAAACGTATTTGCTATCCACTTTGCTAACTATCGAGTCCTATCAACCTTCAAATTTTCTTACAATCTTCATGACTTTTCTTGACTTCAAAAAAATTCTTTTCAATGAAATCTGGACAGTTGTATCAATGTGGAAACACTATTCAAAATAGCGACTCGCAAGTCATACTACATAAGTCATAAATACAACGTTATGAGGAATGCTAGACTTGTGTTACAGCACTATTTAATGAGCAAAAATGTGGGGAGACTACTAAAACATTAACTGCTATCCCGATTTTTAAAAAGATGTGGTTATCCCCCATCGGGATACAAGTAAAATAAACTTAGTATCCAAAACCAAATATCAGTATCCCGTGGATATCGGGATACTGCAAATTTCAGGCCCTGCCACCTTATCACAACCCGCACACCCGATCACCTATATATACATGAACTTACAGTTACAGCTCAACAGCTGGTCTCTGTAGCTCAGTTGGTTAGAGCACTGCACCGGACTCACAGGGCCGTAGGTTCAATTCCTATGAGAGGACCTTGTGCCGCATTTTTCGCATTCGTTCCTGGTCAGGTCTTAAAATGTACATCTACTCACTTCGATTACAGTACAAACCCTAAAAACAGCATTCTAATATTAATTCCACCAAGTGAAGTGCAGTAACCAGATTATTATTTGGTTAATTTAAAATGCAATGCAATACAGATGTGACAGGGCATAAATGCACTGTTCATGTAATGAAACATGTTATTTAGCTGCAACTATACAGAATAACTATACTTTCACAATATATTAGAATCAATAATATATTATTGAGTCAAGTTAGTATTGGTTGAGTAGATTGGTCGAGTTGGTCAGTTGACCAATTTGATAAGCTTTCAAGGACTTCAAAGCCTAAATTGGCAAAGTATGTTTTACATAGCATGGCCACACATGAGTTGATCATGAATCACAAAAAATTAATTAGCCCAATCCCAGATGAAACAATTAACAAATACCTTATTATTGTGGATCAATTTAGTCAGGTTTTTTAAAAATATTTCCCCACTTTAGAAATAGTTTAAATAATGCGTGTCACCGTCATGCTTTGCACGCTTAAATCTACTTCACTGTTTTCACAGCCATTTTAAAGATGCGGTACAGTCCGTATGTAAACAAAGGCTTTGTTTACATTTACATTTGCAAAATATAGAATTTTATTCAACAACTAATATATTTTCATGATTCTAGAATATAATAAATTATGAAGACACAACAATCAAGCTTTGCAAGAACATAAAATGAAATAAAAACCTAAATAAACTGTTTGTATAATAGTTCTCCTTTGTGCACATGTGCAGATCAGACTGTACCGCATCTTTATGGCCATAGAAAATGGCCATTGAAGTTTCTATTTTCAATCCATAATATATTTCAATCATCCTAGGAGTATACTTGCTCATTTTAACTTATTTGTACTGAAAATGAATCAAAGAAATATTTTCCATCGTCATTTTGTTCCTATTGAATGATATCCCAAGGTGAGGGTCAGATTTTCAATCACCATCGTGGAAATTTCGTTTTTTCCACCAGGCAATAGTAAACTTATTGAAATATTTTCTGCCTGAGGCTATGCTTAAAGCTTTAAACTTTCAGGCCTAATACAGTACATAACCAATCCAATACAGAGCAGGATTACAAGTGTGTGTTACTATTAATATGTATAAAATCAGCTCTAAATTAAACGGGGAAAATCTAAATTCTAAAATAGTAAACAGTATTACTGTAAACCCCTTCTTCGGTTCACCCTAGAAATATCTTTCATCAGTTTACCTCGCAAATTCTAACCAAAAAAATATAGATATTATTTCATTACTAACCTTATTGACGTCAACAGATAATGTGCTTCGGGTTTCTTCGCTGTCTTTCGCTTTGTCTTTGTTGCTGTTGCCTGTTGACATGTTATGTGCGGGCAAGCTATAATTTGCAGGCTCATGCGCACTGACGCTGACCGAAAATGGCAGGCTCGTTTCTTCTTGAGTTGCCGTTTTTGCCACCACGAAGAGCAAAAATATTATAATAACTGAAAATGGATGTGATAAAAACATTACATGTTCATCGGCAGCTTTGGGCTGTGTTCGCTATGACTTCACTTGACCATTACATGCGACGACTGCCAAATAAAAACACAACAATGTCGTTCATCTGTTCGGAAACAGCGTTTGGCATTATACCATGCCATAATAGCAATATAGGACAATATAGACATTAGCAATTTTTTCATAATGTAATTGCCCTGTTCCTAGCCACCAAGGTTAAACTTGGCCATGGGAAGTGACCAATTTCAACGTTGAAACAATGTTTAATTATCGACAATTCGACGTCAAAACCACGTTGAAAATACGTCGATCGACGTTGCGATGGGATTTCGTCCTGAATTCGACGTCGGGTGGCCACTGGGTGGGTAGTAACCATGTAAGTGGCTTCAAGGAAGGTGTTGGCAGGGCTTTCAGGATTTGCAGACACTGTATGGGAACAAGGGAAGAATGCAACAATAAGGTGAAATTTTTGTTTCATTAATTTAATATTTTAGACTTTTAATTTTAGTTCTAATACTCTTTCCATACTTTGCACCTTATGAGTTAAACCATTGACTTGCAATGCAGACAGTTTTACTTGTCAAGGGAGGAGTCATGCAAGTTGGTGCCAGAAAGTATAGGGTGACTTGGGTTCCCAGTCAATGGGTCAACCAATTGAGCAAAATATATGGTGATGAGACAGATCCGCCCTGAATTGTTAAAGTGTAAATGACATGAAATTTCTTATTTTCTTAAATGAAAGAACTCTTTAAGTTGTAATGTAACTTATTGTTTAGTTTCATGTTTTTATTGTTTGTTCCCGAGATATTTAAATTTGTTTGATATGTAAATGAGTGTGAATATGTCCGCTAATTTATGACGTCACGGTGGTTGCAAGCTCAACTTACACTTAATCTTTCCATTTCTTCTTGCACCTTTTTGCTCACAGCTATCTTATTTTCATTCATGTTCAGAATATGCAGTCCCGAGATGCTTGTAAGCCTGCTAAGTGCAACATAATGCATATGTTCTCGTTTAGATGATGGAAGGTCAACAACTGCATCAGTTAATGTATCTCCTTGACAACGATGAATAGTTTTAGCTGCAGATGGTCTTAAAGGAAATTGCCGGCGAAGAACTTGCATTTGGTGCCTTCTGAACTGTCTTGTGATCTCTAAAATTGGAACCCAATGTCTATTAATACTTTGGTTATAAAGATGAGAGTATTCTTTGCGATAATCATTTCCTATGTGTTCTTCTTGGAATAAAACCCAGATAATACTTGGTCTTGATGAACCTGGTACTCTGTAATCAACTTTCTTAATTATACATTCAGCTCCATTAGTCATACCATCAACGACTGACACGTTTGTCGTAAGATCGTACTTTGCATCTTTAAGTATAGAACAAACTGAGTACAATCCCATGGTTTTAGAAGGATCGTTCGGGATTTGCTTCTTAAGCCTTTCTTTTAACTCATCAGATAAATCTCCAAGTACAATATCAATTGCTTTTATCTCAACCTTCTCATTTGTAGATTTATGAAAAATGTCATGATTGTGTTGATTGACTGCCATGTTTGTACTAAATAGGTGAGTGAAATTAATTGGATAATGGGGATGTTGCGGACTAAGATTCAAAATTCTTTTTTTTAAAACTTCGATGTCAGCTTCAGTATGTTTCCCTTCTCTTATACGATTTAAGATTTCAGCAAAGTCTTTGTCTTCTCGTTGTCTCATTACTTCTGATAATTCAAACATTTGAAAATACCGTTGCCAGAGATTTGTCGCTAATGCCGTATAGCCATCATTTGAGTTCTCAAATATCCAATGATCAAAGACTGGTTTAAGTTGAAACAAATCGCCAACAGTTATTATACTAAGACCACCAAAAGGTTCTTTTGTTCCCATAATTTGTTGCAATCGTAAGTCAAGAAAATTAAACATGCCACTGCCTACCATTGATATCTCGTCAATAAACACAACTTTCATTCTCTGTAATTGAGATCTTATTGTATTCAATCTATCTCTATCAAGTGTGCAATAATTAAAACCTCTGTTTGCAGGAATCTTAAAGGCAGAATGAAGTGTATTTCCTTTTATATTAAATGCAGCTTTGCCTGTTGGAGCAACTTTTACAACACTGACATCGTCAGGATCATTTTCTGGTTGAGCATTTAAGTATCTTATAAGAGCTTCATACAAAGCATTTGTAACAGTACTTTTGCCTACACCAGCTCCTCCGCTTAAAAACAGTCTTAATGGTAGCTTACCAGTTTTAACAGAGTTCAATACATGATAAAAAAACTCTTTTTGTTCGACATTAAGTGATTGCACAAGTTTTCTAAAATCAGCATCTTTCAATCTCTTCAGTACAAGTTCTTCGTCATCATTTGTTCTTGGATATATACCAATATCGTTAATTAAGTCGTATTCAGTATGTTGCTTATCTTTTCCTGGATCAAAGCATCCAAATAATTCACTCACTTTTGAACCAATGTCTTTATCTTGTTCATCTCGATATTGTGCATTTGCAGCAACAATGTTACCAAATTCCTCACTTTCAATATTTTGTACTGCTTGATCAAGAACTTCTGTATGATTCTCGTATTGCTTTCTGTTTTGTTCGATGTCATCTTTGAGGACTTCAAACCGATCTTGGTAAGTCTGGAAGTCTTTCAAAAGATCTGTGGTTTCATTTCTCCAAGCAGTGTAAAGCATTATTTGTTCTCTACAGTAATTTTCTGTATCTTTGTTTTTATTAAATCTTACAGATCGTATTATTCTTGGTTTTTGTCTCTTCACTAGCGTTATTCCTCCTTTCATTTCATATTCATCCTTCTCAGACGTTTGTTCCAGATCGGAAACATCATCATCTAAATTATCATATACAATATTCTCTGAAAGATAATCATCTGTGGAAGGTGAGTTTGTTTTAAGCTTTCCCTCCTCATTGTTGTCGCTTTTGCAGTTATACCACGCAACAAAATCTGCTAAACAGACGTTTTCCAGTTGCTTTGGTCGTCGCTGATACCTTTTAATGACGTTGTCTGACTCAATATCAATTGAATTATCAGGAAGTTCTTTAATTTTATCCATGCTTTTTAATAAAAATGTTCTTTCATCTGGATCAGATGTATTGATGAACTGGAATTCTCGAGATGATCTTCTCAAAGGCATCTGTAGAACTAAGTAAGCAGCTTCTTGCGCACTTATTTCAACAGCATTGAGAAATTTGTTACCAATATGTCTCACTTTGTTAACAATATTTTTATTGCCTTCTTTTGCTTCCTCACATGCCTTACGAAGTAGCTTGCTCATTCCCCTTTGACCTTTAGTAATATATGAAAGGATATAAACAGCACACGCATAAGGATCTAGTACAAATTGAATATCCATGTTGGCTTGCCAAGCTTTGAGTAAGTTTGGATTATAGCAGTTAATTCTTATCTCGGCTGGCGATCGTTTCAATAACAAAGTATTATGTTTAAGAGAAAGCCGTATAGACTTTATATATTGCTGTTCCGACAAATCTAACTTTTCAAGAAATTCATCAAAGGTCATAGTTTCATCTGCTTTAATAGTGTCTAGTAACGAACGTATTCGTCCTAAAGCTCCTTTTAATACATCTGCGATATTTTCATCCAGCTCAGTCTCAGATAAGGGTTGTAAAATCATAGTTCTTGGCATCGGTGGTAACGGAAAATTAAATCTGCAAATAGCACGACCTCTTTTTTTGCATGTTTTAGAGTGTCTATGCCTTTGTAAATTTACGAGATCGCTTAAATCAACTGAATCAGCTTTGCATGAAACATAGCTATGTACAAACTTGACAATATCTTCGTCAGAATCTTTACCATACTCAGGTGCATTTTTTATCCAAAATAATCCGTGGATATGTGGAGAACCTCTTTGCTGGAATTCAACACGATAGAAAAAATCAATAACTTCTCCAATTGGATGACATGAACTTTTAATAAAGTTGTGAATGAATAATTGTACCATATGTTCGAAATTTCTAGCACATGTGACTGGATCTTTCTGTATCAGATTAGATTTTTTTTGCCATGTCATCTGTTTAACTTCGTCATCGGTATAGTCTTTATTATCAATAAGACGCCCTAGAATTTTAATTAAATGAATCCAACGCGTTTCAGCAGCTGAAAATGAACAGAACCATGTAGGTTTACCAAGTTGACGAATCATTGCAAATAAATCCTTTTTACATCTTTCAAAATATGGAGGTGAACCGCGTAAATTTCTTAAAACTCTGAATCCTTCATCTAAATTTATAAGATTGTTGACAGAACTTTCTGACTTTAAATGCCCAGCTGTGTACGTTTTACCTTTGGTTTTACATTTACGTAATGACAAACTTGCACTTCCTTGAATTTGTCTTATCTGTAGCTTTTTCAATTTATAAAAAATGTTTGGCACAGACTGCGCAACTCTTCTATCTTTGCTTCGTAATTCCCATTTACACATTGTGCTATAATGAACAGGCACGAGTCTTTCAGAGTCGTAATTCCCATTTACACATTGTGCTATAATGAACAGGCACGAGTCTTGCTTGACGTTTGCCACAATAAATTGTGGGAAAAGAAAGAAATTCTGAATCTTTGTCTATAAAAATGCCAAGTGGTCTATTTCCTTCTCCTGGCGCAAAACTTATTATTCTATCACCATCTTGAGTAATGTCTGGTTCTTGTAATAATGTATCCATAACACCTGATGGTTGTTCATTTGCTTCACACCATTCATCATCAGTTTCATTGTCAATCGATTCATTCCTTGCATTATTCTCTAGTTCTTGACTTTGAGTGCTGTTTGATAGATTGTCGGAAGATTCGCTGGCATCCTTGGAAATAAATTCAGACCATCCGTCTTCATTATCCTCGACTTCATTTAAAACATAATTATCCATTGATTGTATTCCTTCATTTTTGAATATTTCACTAGTTCGAACAAGGTATTGAGCTGCTTCTAATACTTTCTTAGGTCTAACATTCTGAAATTGATAATGATGTTTGTAACCAAGGCGTCTTTTCAATTTGATTGGAATAGTTTGTGACTCGTTAATTGGTCTTGGTAACACACTAACAGTTGAATTAACATCAGCAGGTACATTAACTACATTCCCGTGAATACTTAATTGACCTCCACAAGGGAGTTCTCGTACTTGCATAAAAGGTATTCTTGGCGAAATTAGTCGTTCTTCAAGAGGTGTTAAATCTTTTAAGACATCAGGCTTTTCTGGAAAAGTCATTTTATTTGCCTTGGCACAAGTTGGAAGTTTGCCAGCTTTTAAGTTTGAGTGACATGTACTGCATATCCATTCAGTGTTATCAATGCTTTTGAAACCAGTGAGACATAAATTGAGAACTTCTTGTGAACATGACTTATATAAAGAAGCATTACATTCAGTAATAGACGACCTATACCACAGCTGGTCACAACATGTACAAATATATTCTGGTCCAATACTAATGTTCTTATGAAATGATTCAATAGCTTTTACTACGGTTATGTATCGTCTTGACTCAGAATTAGTTTGAACCTCAAAGTCTTCACGTGCATTAGAATTCACATAGTTTTCTACTTTTTTCTGTTTATTCATCTCATTTTTGTTTTTACTTAAATCTAGCTTTCTTTTAATATATTGCCTTTTTTGATTATCTTTAAATGTTTTTGAATGAGTTTGCTTGTATATAGCATTTGACATTTTTGATGATTGTACAACTTTTTCAGGATGTGACAGTCGGTATGTTGCATTGGCTTTCTTCAAAGACTCTTTTACTTTTTTAGGATTTAAACGTCTGTACGTTGCATTTGCTTTTTGCCAAGATTCTTTAATTTTTTGAGAATGAGAATTCTTATATTTTTTGTTATAAGACTTTCTTCTCTGAGATTCTTTTTTTTTAAATTCACTATCGTTTCTCCTTTTTTTCATGTATTCTTTCATGTATTTTTTTCTCTTTTCCAACTTGTTGTTTGTATCAGGTTGGCAAAATTGTGTATTTTGCGAGCATATGTTTGGTTTGTTAGTTTTGTTTTTTTCTGTTGTTTCATTAACACTCTGTGTAGGCCTAATAGGCGTTGTTGACACATAATGCAGTTCATCAAGATGTCCGACATAAATGTCTCTTATGTTTGCTACAGATTCAGCATAAACAGAGCTTACAACTGTTGATTCTGAAAAATTTGGGGCACTTTCAGTTATGTGAATTCTCAAATTATTCGAATTCGCAACTGCCTGTATAACAATATGATCAGCCCATGTACCTAGCATTGACATGTCCTGTAAATATTGTATCCAAGATTGACGTGTGTTACTATCTATAAAATGTTCTGGGCAGTTTATTAAATGCTGGATTGCGAGAGCTCTTATTTGCGAATGACAATCTTCTGTTCTGTAAAGTTGGTGGCTTACACTACGAAAGAAACAATTACCATCACCAACAATGTTTACTGGGTTTAGTCCTATTCTAGCTAATCTTGATGTTAGAATTGACAGTGGCGTATTCGCAACAGGGCCTGGATTCAATTCTATATCACCACTCACAAATAAAAAACATCTGTCAGATGTCTTTAGCCTTCGTTTGTTGCATTTATTTGTGCTTAGAGCCTTTCTTGACTTAAACAACTTGTGTTTTCTTGTCCTGATTTTTAATATTTCCAATTTGTGCATTTTCAATTTCTTAGCTTGACATGGCTTCCTAAATTTGCAGAAATATACATTTGAATTTGCTTGTCGCTGAATGAAATTTTTTCGGTAACTTGTTGAAAGCAAATTATGCCAAGATGATGATTTGGGAATTAACTGCCTTATGAACTTTTTTACTTTACGCCTTTTTTTCTTATTTTTTCTCATTATATAAACTAATTTTTTCATAGGAATCCTAGATGGTTCACGATCACGCTTTTTAACATATACTAAATGACTTATACTTCGAAGTCTACTTCGATTGAAAGTGTTAGACTCATTATAATCCAAATGCTTGTTTTGTATTGTTAACATAAGTAAAACTTCACTTTTTATTTTTGCACAGGTATCATTGCTTTCTGAGAGTGAAGTAAGAAATGTTTCGAAATTACAAGTATCGTTGACCTTTGACTTTTTCCCAAGGTCACCTTCAATATTGTATTGACTAATAACTGTTTCACATATGCGTAATTGTTCTTTTTCATATAAAGTTTTGATAGTTTCTGATAAGTTCTCATAGTTGCTCATAAGTGCTAATAGTTTCTCATAAGTTCTCGATAGTTTCTCTCTCAATCGAACACGATTTTGCACCGTTGTGCTAGACCCATGAACAAGGTCCGTGTCGATAACACGTGGGCTATCTCCTTGCCTTGCTCCTCGATTACATAAGGCTCGCTGGCAAGTCAAGCGATTGTCGATAGCACACCGGCTATCTCCTCGTCTTTTGCTATTAAATAAAGCTCTCTGACGAGTCAAGAGATTATCTCTAGTGTCGCAATCTTTGCAATTCATCGTTTTCTTTGAAATCGTTCTTCTGCAAACTATAAAGACTATAAGCATCATCTGATGCAATATTCTATCGTTGCGGGAACCGAGCAATTAGCCAATCACATTACTTTAAATATTGCCAGCGTGTTAAATGCATGTTGTGCACATGCCACTGTTGTTTACATAATCTTTTGATATGGCTTGACATGTGCCAGGAAACAGTCACATTAAAAATATGAGACCTTGTCACATGCTATTTTTAGTATTTTAAGGCGTGGCTTATGCTATTGTTCAAGTCGCGATATAAATGCAACAATTCGCTTTAAAATGTCGGCCAAAGATCCTGTTGTAATAAAGTCAAAAGGCAAAAAGACAAATAAAAGTAAAACCACGATAAACGCGAAAATCCCCCAAAATGTTGAAACTCGCAAGCCCGAGGCCTCGACATCGTCATCGAATCCAACATCGAATCGAGATACGAGAATCGAAAACGCGATAATTGCTTATGTGCACAAGTTGTCGCCAATACAAAGAAACAGGAAGAATACTGTGGATTATTCCACCCTAGTCTTACAGACGGAAGGCAAAAATATCGACGCTCTGCTGTACTCAAAGAACAAAAGGCAGTTGCTCATGGATAGCGAACAGTCTCATACACCATTAAAGATTCAAAAGTTCACGAAGTCGGCACTGGGAGAAAAAATAATCATTAACGACATGACAAAGCTTTCTACGCCTGACCAGACAGAGTATAGATTCCAGTTTGAAAAGATTGCAAATCCAGGAGATCAGATCATCCCAATTGAAGAAATTTTAAATAACCGCGAACCGTCGGACAGTGTAGCTTTGCGAGCCAAGGCAATTTACGTTGCCGAAACCACGGTCGTCGGAGCAAAAAATTTAAAGTTGGCTCAAGCAATTTTCGCAGACAGCTCGGGTAAAATTCGGGTCAATCTGTGGGAGAACCAAATTCCTCTGATACAAGCTGGGCAAATGTTCACTATAACGGAATTGCAAGTTCGTGAGTGGTCGGGCGAAAAAAAAGTGAGTACGACTGTAAAAAGTGTTATTAAGTCAATAACTGACGAGGCTCTTGAGAAGATCACCGTATCAGAGGCAGAGATTGAGACCATTGCCGAAAAGGTTATTAACGTTCCATTCATTGATATGGTCAAATCAGTAAATATGTCCATCCTTTGCTCAAATTGCTCAAAGAAGATCCTGCAGGCTACAGCGAATAATATTGTGCGCTGCGACAGATGTGGTTGCAGAATGAGGCTTGTAAGTTGCAAAAAGCAATTGTCTGTTCAAGTTCTTGTGAAACCTATTGATGGTGGCGCAATCGAACTGTTAATTTTCCAGGATTCTTTAAAGAACATTATAAACTCTCTGGATACATTAAACGAGGACCAAGTGGCAGAAAGTTTGTTAGCGTTAGATAACCTTCAAATCAAATACGACCCAACAAAATGATTGTTACGAAGTTTTTGTAAGTCTTTTTGCGTTTCCTGACTGGTATTGCATGGTTTTACAAACTTTATACTGTTTATGTTTTGTTAGATTGACATTGCACGGATTCTAAAAGACAAAAGGTTTATATTAATTTAGCACGGAGAGACCAGCGGTCTGTTGTAGCCCACGAAGTCCGTTTGGTGTAAACGGTGGATAAGTCAATAAAAAAATTACTCTCTTATAGTTATACATTTTGTGAATGGCTAAACTTAAAATGTATATATTGAATATGCAGTTGCAAACATTATTGCTCTATTTATGTTGACAATTTTAGTTTTCATGAACCATGGAAAATTTAGTTTTCATGGATAATATGAAGTTTTGGTCTTAATCTAAAGCCCGGCTATCCACCGGATATGGTAAACAGGCTTCATATGTGGCGTTTTTATGTAAACATTTGTTGAATGTTGTGTTCAAATAATATATCAATATATCTTTACGACTTTGCAAACTAATTTTGTTAAAAACTAAATTAATTTTGTCGTAAATTACCAGTAAGCTTGAAGTAGACGAAGTTTTGAGCTTTTAGATGAACTTTTGAACTTTAATATTACAGCCATTTTCGTCCAACCATACCACAAATCGCAAAAATTTCCGACCGTTTGTTTACGTTTGTGACGCAAATGCCGTATAAACTGTTGCATGCATGACCATGGATGTCTCAATTGCTTTAATATACATAATACAGCATACAAAATTTAGTTTTGTCCAAATTCCTGTATATTATTTTGTAGCATCTCAATTTATTTAATATATAGAAACGCAGACAAGATTATGCTTAATACGATAAGATTGCGGTGCCAAAAGTTCGGCACCGCATTATATTCTGCCTGTGAGTTTGTTTGTTAGTTTGTTCGCATCAATACGTTTCCTTAATTGCCTACCAAAAATTTCTTGCACGTGCTCGGAATTTATTAATCGTGTACACTCATGATGATCGACAGTTTGCTTAGCTTCATCTCTGGTTTTACGCGTCAAACAAGGACAAAAATACCACTGTTCGAATCAGTGTAAGAAATTATACTCACAGATGTCAAATGAATTACTAAACTACAGTATTCTAGCGATTTATGGCCTTTGAAAGACAAGCGAAATTGTATTGTTCACAAATCGCTCAAAATTATTAAACTAATTAAAAATGCAATATATTTGACCTTGATAACTTTCGTATTGTTGGTTTTCTCTTTTTCGTCCGTTTACCAGTCGATTTGTCTCACTTTTCCCTTTATTTTGTTTGTAGTTTCAGCCCAAAATATTACATTTTGAAGGTTTTAATGTGCAGTTTTAATAAGCGAAATTGTATTGTTTACAAATCGCTCAAAATTATTAAAGTAATTAAAAATGCAGTCCGTTTAATCCTTGATAATGTCGGAATTGTTGGTTTTCTCGTTTTCGGCCGTATGCCAGTGGATTCGTCTCAATTTTCTCCTCATTTTGATAGTATTTTGAGCCCAAAATATTTTATTTTGAAGGCTTTAAAACGCAGTTTTGATCCTAACGTACGGACCAACTGGCGGTCGACAGGAGAATGTATAGCGTGCTAAATATAACTTTACTTGTGCATGTAGGCGGAAACGCCAAAAGTTGTAGGCGGGCACCGCATTTTAGTACTGTGTCTGGTTAGGCTCAATTTTCGGCAACATGACACAATAATGAATGTCATTAATTGCCAAAACAGTAAATTTGCCAACTTGGCTACTTTTTATAAACGTATAAACATTGTCATTGACATTGACATTGACGATTGTATTTACGATGACCTACGGCTACGAACTGTACCTAAGACATAATAAATGTTAATCTTGAATTCAATTATAAATTTATTGAAACAAAGGCTTTGTTAACAAAAGCACAAAGCTAGTATCTCGACTAGTTTATGGCAACAGCAAACTTCGCGCTTGTTACCTTTTACTTCAATTTCGGCCAAATATCACTTATACTGCATGCATGCAAGTCATATATAACTATTCATCTGCGCGGTTGAAAAATATAAAATAAAATTATAGAGCGGGCTGGAAATATAAAGTAGGCTGGGAAAAGTAATGGAAAAGTAGTTTTGTTAAAAATAGTATAGCCCCAGACAACTATTCTAAATAGAGCTATATAACATATTAAATTCATAGAACAACTTATAGTTATAGTTTGTTTATTTTTGCTTTGTTTAAATTCACGATAGTTGTCAGGGCTATATTTTTAACAAAACTATGATTTTCGCTCGCCGGAAAATCGATTGCTATAGTGGAAAAGTACTATCCCCGTATTAATAAAACTCAATAGCCGTTTTCACATTAGAAGACGGACAAGTCGTCTAGATGAACAAATCGTCTCAAAATCGTCTTTTAGTCGGACAAATCGTCAGATGTGAAAATGTGTCGTACAAAATTTTAGACGAACAAGTCGTCTGAATTTGTTCGACTACTTGTCCGTCTGTGAAGACGATTTTTGAGAGACGATTTGTTCGTCCAGACGACTTGTCCGTCTCTAATGTGAATAGGGCTAATGCGACTGTCTGCATGTGCACAAGCTACAATATACGGGCCTTGTTATTATAAAATGAATAATTAAAACAAGATCACATCATTTGTCAAATTCTGCGACACCGATTGAAGGTAGGCTACAGTCTGTTCACAGACTGTATATATGAGATTATACAGCACGCAAATTATATTTTTATATAAAAAAATGCTGCTTTTATATGACTATGCTTTTATAGCAGATTAATTTTCATATAAAGACAGATTAGGGTTGAAATTATAGATTTAATATATACGAGCGTGCAATAAATGCGGCAGTTTATATATAGACATGATATTGCATGATATACTAGGCGAAGATATATTTCATGTTATACATAAAATAACGTGTCTGCCTATACTGGCTACAGTCATAGAAAGAATAAAATATAGTTGTATAACTAAATTTCTTGACATAAATTGAGCTACGAGATTTAAATTGAAATATCACTATAAAGAAAATCATAAATAGACATGCAAAAACTCGGGCCTCGTATGAAATGCGGCGAGTTGAACCTTGAAATAGAGTCTAAAATTGCATCGAAATAATATATATCCATGTTAAGTCGTTTGCCCAAGGCCTGTTTTAAGATTTCGACCAGCACTCACACGCGTCGCCATATTTATTTTGCTGACTTGCAGTTCTCACGAAAATTTGATGATACGGGGGGTGCTATTAGCACGAATACCCGTATTTGTTATCTTATTGAACTTTTAGCATTGCTGTAATGTAGACGTTTAAACATTGATCGTCAAGCTAAATCAAATTTAAGAAATTTTATTATTGCTATAAATACCGTTTTAACGTTAAAAATTGTCCAACCTTGAAGTTTTTTTTAGATATGGCATTGGAACAACATTTGCAACTCCCCCCCGGAAAGTTTACTCTATGTATCTCTCGCTTGAATTTCGCCACTCATCACAATAGTGCAACGTTTCCATGGAAACATTGCACTAAAAATGACTTGCATCATCGGAAAACGTAGAAAAAACCGCATATAAGACTTTTAAACAGTTTTTTGATTTTTCAAATAGTCTTTGAGTTATTGCTGTTTTAAATGTGAAAATTGGACCAAAATGTCGCAATAAGGACTGGGTACTAGGTCAAAAACGCGTTTTTGACAGTGTATAACTCGAAAACAATTTTAAATATAAAAAAACTGTTTAAATGTCTTACATATAGGTTTTTGTAAGCTTTCTGATAATGCAAGTCATATTTGTTGTAATTGAATACAAAATTTTACATTTTCTTGCCGTAATACAATTTAATAGAGGATAATCACGGATCACCCATTTTCTCGGTGTTGGGCAAGTTTTTTGCTTGGGAACTTTTTTTGTGATAATTAAGCATCTATGGTACTATGAATTGAACCACAGAAAATCTATTTCCCAGGAGGGTGCCACGAAATTGCTTTTCTAGGCACTTCTTCGCACAACAGCCCACAGCCTAATATCAGTTCATGTTTTTCTCCAGTGTTTTATCACATTTACCAGTGAGTGAAGTTTGAAATTATTATCTTGGATGATAGCAGTGATATTCAACCATTGAGGAGCTTGCAACCAACGTGATGTCATAAATTAGCGGACATATTCACACTCATTTACATATCAAACAAATTGAAATATCTCGGGAACAAACCATAAAAACACATAAATTAGCGGAAATATTCACACTCATTTACATATCAAACAAATTGAAATATCTCGGGAACGAAACTGAAAAATATGTTACACTACAGCTTAAAAAGTTCTTTCATTCAAGAAAACAAGAAATTTCATGTCATATGCACTTTAAATTCTATTCTCAGTCTAGCGTGAGGCGGTTTCTATACAAAAAAACGAAAACTGACCAAAACAACCCGAGTGAACCATTTTTTTTTAAAATACGTTCGAAAATCAAAACTAAAAGACACAACACGCCTACTCGGTTTTCAAAACACATCGGGTTTTTTTTCCGGTTTACCGAAAAACCGCCTCACCCTATCTCAGTCACTTATAGAGAATCTGAGAATGGCCAGAAAATCTTATCATGAACATTTTTGTTCTAGTTTCTTTCTGAAGAATTTCAAGAAAGAAATTTGACAAGCCACAGACGAATTTGTAGTTGCATTGAGGATAAAGATAATGCCAGAGACATCCATGACCAGTTGTCCACAACCTATGGAATGAATCGTTTGAGCGTACTGAACAAGGTGGAACATTTTGATGTCTGAAGGTGCTTCCCGGAGGACATAATGCATATTTTATTATTAGAAGGTTTGGTAGCATATACATACCTGTCAAATGGAGCTAGGCTATGTCACATTCTCGTACCCAGATCCCGTCTTACACGCGGACAACAGAGCATGTTGAGGGAACGAGAATGGGTACCTAGCTTCTAAATCATTTTTGGAGTTAGACCTTTAGATTTTGGAGGTAGCATCGCCCCATAACTTCCTACTTTTTACAGGCATGGTACCATATGAAATGAAGCTACTGTTGAAAGAATTAATTGATGAAGTCAGATGTCTGACGCTGAGCGAACTCAATCACAGGATGGAGAACTTCGATTATGGTTACATGAACCGCAAAAACAAACCAACAACCATTACCAGAGAGATGTTGAATGGTTTAAATGACACAAAGCTTAAGCAAACAGGTATAAATATCTCTTTCATACACTACTGGGAGCTGCCACAGCAATTAAATGTGTAGATTCTAATTGCGAAAGGTTAAAATTTCCTATTGCATTAGTATTGTAAATATACACTCCACCACATCTTTTGCAGAGATTAGTTGGACAATTAGCCATTCCGAAGTTGATGAGAGGACTGGAGGGACATGTGTTAAAAAGCGCCCAAATTAAAAAATGAACCAAATCATTAAAAAGACCACCTGTGATAAAACATTTTTGCTAATTCTTTTGTTCTTCAAACAGCAGAAAATAAATTTTAACAATGCCCAAACCCATGTTATCAAGTATGCATACAGTGGTGGTATTAACTATTTAAGGCATATAACCTTGAGTATAAAAATGGGCAATCATTGGAGGTGCAGTTGGTTAACACCGAAAATTTTTATTGGCTATTTCAATCCTACTTGACGACCTAACTATGAAAATATTATCATTTCGTTCTCAAACATTTTAGTCTACGAGTAAAATGCATGCAAACTTTGTATTTCGCCGCCATCGTGGAAATATGTTTTTAAAAATTATCTCGAAGGTCAATGAACTTTGTGACATCATTGGATGGGTAGCACCAAAACTACAAGAGGGAATTCTATTGCATGCGTGTTATGTTAGCTAAAAATATGTCGTTTTGAGCGTTATACTGGCCAACACTCTTCGCAATCAAACAAGATAAGTCTACACTATCAGATAAAAACATCGAGCACCTGGGAAAGCAAGGAATGGTGCAATTTACAATACAGGTAATTGATCATAAAATATTGCATTAGTATTTGCCTTGTTACACTCGAATTTCTGCGTTTGTTTAACACGGAGTAGGATATATACTATGAGAAATAGTGTTACAAACAAGTTACATACTTGGTAAAACTTTGCTGCCTTTTGTTTCGGCTCAAAATACACTACGCACGGCAATACTCAGCTTGTTTATAGTCATGAAATTGTGTTTACCCAGCCAATGATGTCAGATAATGTATTTTGTGGCATAAATTAGCATGCACGCTTGTTTTCAAAATGGCGGACAACTGTTGAACTTTTTATCAAATTTTCTCAACAACTAACCGGCCAAAATATGAAATTAAATATTCCGCAAGTATACCTAATAGATATAAGTAATACAAATTTTGTCCTTTAACCAACTTCAATGTCCTTTAACCCAGATACGATGACGTCTGAGTTTGTGACTATAGGAGGGTGGAATCCCCCCTCCCAAATAAATTTGGATGGAGCTCCCACCCAAGTCCCAAAACTTAAAATACCCTGTGTGTAAAAAAATATATAATAATTATCTTTTTCATAGCATCACAAACATGGTGCTTATTTAGATTTTTACCAATCATGATTGGTGATAAAGTGGATGATAACCTGGAACATTGGCATTGCTATCTGAAGCTGTGGAACGTCGTCCAAATTTGTACTTCCCCGGCGATAACAAAGGTTGATGTTGCCTGCTTGAAAGTTATGATCAGTGATCATCACACTATGTTCAAGAGGCTGTATCCTCATGCATCTATTCTTCCAAAGATGCACTATTTGATCCATATACCTGATGAGATTCTGAGGTAGGGCCATTTCTAATGAGTCAAAGGGTAATCTCTTGGTTATTAACCCTTTAAGTGGCAATGCACCCTACTTTAGTATTTTACTCTGTCTAACGCCAGATGATTTTACTTGTCAAGTGGATAGTGCTACCACTCAGTGGGTTAATAGGCTATTTCAATGTTTCTTTGACATTAAGCCCTGCTGTTTAACGCCTTGCAATTTTATTTGTAGATGAAATGTTGATTATTGTTCTATTTACGGAATTTTCCAGATTTGGCCCACCACGAAACATATGGACAATGCGGTTTGAAGCTAAGCACAGTTTCCTGAAGAGCTGAATCACAAAAAATTTCAAGAATGTTCCCAAATCCCTTGCATTTGCACATCAGCGGTATAATAATTTTGTATTTTTACCTTGTGCTGTCTAGAATATGTTTCATGGTGTATTATTTTATGCCCCAGGTAATTTTTTGTCACCCATAAAAGTGTACAGTACATAAAATCTTTTATATTTTACTTATAATTTATCTTGTAGGGAAATATGCTGGAACCTTTTGGCCTCTCCTGAGCAGACCATGACAAATTATCTCTACAGTGGTGATGTTGTCGGACCAGGTATTGCGTATTGTACATAAATTATTACATTTTCATAAAGATATATTATTTAAATTAAGTAATGTCGACATACATGCAATGAGTGTCTCAAGTGTCACATTACTGAGTAAAAAGTAGGGCATACCAGGCACAATGTGCCTTTTCTTGGTTAACCAGTCTTTACCAAATGCAATAAAATAGGTTGGAAGCTTTTCTGTTGAACCAGTGTTTCCTATTGCCTTTTAGGTGATTATGACGTTGATTTAAATGGACAACATTATTCAAACATGCTAGCTGAAGCTGCTGGTTTGAATCAGCTGCCACAACTATGTTCAGGAAGTAGGTAAGTTAACATGTTCAAGAACAAAATGTGCTGTTGGGATTTAAACTTTATCATTTTGGTCTTCCTGTGGACATTGATAGATTCCAACACCATCTGCTAATCAGGGGTGGAAAAAATATTTTACTTTCTGGGACTGCAAGAGAAAATTGAAAATTTTCTGCAAATAATAAAGTAAATTGACATTGGAACACCGTAACTGTGTGATGTTTTCCAACTGAATGTCATGCTATATTTTAAATTAACAGAAAAATATTAATTTCATTGCACTGAGAATCTTAATAATACTTTTTTAGGAATATAACATAAAACTAATGTAGATAACATGCATCAAGGGTCGGATCCTAAGGTGAATAGAGATGCTAAAAAAAGGCACTACCATGCAGGGGGGTTCATGCTCCCCCAGAAAATTTTGAAAATCAGGTGTCCCAGATTGGCTAAAAAATGCATTTGCCGTACAACATTTGTTACATTATTCTATAGTCTATACATTTACACACTATTGCACTACTAAGATGGATGCACTTATAATAATTATTGCATTTCTGAGGTCATACATACAGTAGTACAGGTAACATTCTTTCTATTAGTTAGAATTTTCCCTCTGAATTTCTCCCTTTTATCTACTAAATTTTTACAATTATCCTTTTTTTCTTTCTTGGGGAGATATTTTCTGGGAACTCAAAAAATTTTTTGGGACCAATGTTTCTGTGGTCCGATACATTTTCCACCCCTGCTGCTAATATTTTATGTGCCAACTGTGGCGATGACATCATCGTTGATGTCACGTGAGTCATTGTTGTTGTCGAGTTTTTAGGCGATATGTTTTAGGCTCGAGACTGACAAGCTGAGATTCAGACATGTTATACTAATCGAAGTAATTGCGGACGACTTTCTCATTGCTGGTTTTGGGAATACTGAAGAAGAGGTCAATGCGAGTTTAGAAAAGAATGAACGGGTGTTTTTCGAAAAATGTCGATAATGGAACTTAAAGTTGAACAAGAGCAAGCTAAAGCGAGCACAATCATCAGTGGCGTTCATGGGGCATCTCCTCACACCCGAAGGGCTAAAGCCAGATCCGGCCAAAGTAGAAGCCATTCTTGAAATGCCCTCTCCAACTGATGTCAAAGGTGTAAAGCGTTTTCTAGGGATGGTCAACTACCTCGTCAAATTCCTACCATTGTTATCGGACATGACTCTACGAAAGCTCGAAGACAAGGATTTTGAGTGGTGTTGCTACCATTGTTATCGGACATGACTCTACGAAAGCTCGAAGACAAGGATTTTGAGTCGTTGTTGCTAGAGCAACACGAAAAAGCATTTAAAACAGTAAAGGACTACCTTGCGAAAGCCCCAGTACTTGCTTATTACGACGTCACTAAAGAAGTAACAATACAGTGTGACGCCAGTGAAACCGGACTTGGCGCCGTGTTGTTGCAAGAAGACTAGCCAATTGCGTATGCCTGTGACGCCAGTGAAACCGGACTTGGCGCCGTGTTGTTGCAAGAAGACCAGCCAATTGCGTATGCCTCAAGAGCGCTGACGGAGACACAAACCAGGTATGCCCGAATTGAAAAGGAATTGTTGGCAATCGTTTGGGCCACCAACAAATTTGATCAATACATCCTTGGTCGCGAGATTGTACACATTGAATCAGACCATCAACCACTGAAAGCAGTTTTCGCAAAGCCTACCACAAATCGCCTAAAAGATTGCAAAGAATGTTAATGGCCCTACAGAGTTACACGCTAGAAATTCATTACAAGAAAGGAACATTAATGTGGATTTCAGACACTCTGAGTCGGGCATACCGAAGTACAACCGAGTCTGCCGAACATGACATAAGCGAAGTACGTGCATTAGAAGAAATTAACCACTGCGAAGGTGTGTCAATAGCTCCGAACAGGTTAAACCAGCTTAAACAATGTACATCAACAGACCCAGTGATGCAACAACTCATCACCGCTATCAATACAGGATGGGCAATAGACCGGAAACAATGTCCACCAGCACTAATTCCATTCTATAACAATCGAAGCGAACTTATTGAAGATAATGGATTAGTCTTCTTTGGGGAAAGACTCGTCGTGCCTTCATCCTTAAGAAAAGAAATGCTACAGCAAATTCACAAGTCCCATATAGGTATTGAGGGTTGTCTGCGGCGAGCACGGGAAGTGATATATTGGCCACGAATGAATGCGGAGGTGAAAGATTATGTTTCAAAGTGCTCTATATGCCAAACACACCAGCCGGAGCAGTGTCGTGAACCACTGAAGTCCTACGACCTACCACAACGACCATGGTCAGTGGTTGGAGAGGACCTATTTCAATTGGGACATCAGCAATTTCTTATCATTGTTGACTACTGGAGTGGGTTCTTTGAAGTTCAAGAGTTATCAAAAGTTACATCGAAAACTGTCATCACTGCATCAAAGGTCCAATTTGCGAGGCATGGAATTCCGGACACCCTAATCTCCGATAATGGCCCTCAGTTTGCGTCAGCGGAATTCGCCCAGTTTACAAAAGAGTGGCAAATTGAACACCGAACATCGAGCCCACACTATCCTCAATCTAATGGACGTGCCGAAAATGCAGTGAAAACTTGTAAATCCCTATTAAAGAAAGCAAAAGCCAGCGGTGAAGATCCTCTATTAGCATTACTAGATTGGAGGAACACCCCGACTGAAAATATTGGAACCTCACCAGCGCAAAGATTAATGGGTCGACGTACTCGTACATTGCTTCCCACGCATCAGAGTCTTCTTAAAACACTGGAACAAAACGGAACAAAGAAGGAATTAGAGAACCGCAAAGTAAAACAAGCAAGGTTGTATAACAAGAAATGTAAACCGCTTGAGCCCCTACAAAGTGGATGCGCCATTAGAATGAAACTTCCAGGCGATAACCGTTGGTCGCTTGGTACCTGCGTATGTGCACTCGAAAACCGATCTTTCGAAGTCGAGGTTTGTGGAAGGCGATATCGCCGTAATCGCCGTCATCTACGTGCGACCAAAGAGATGGCACCACCTCCCAACGCGAAAGATTCCCAAATCGAACCGAGCGAGCCGAGCGAAAAGGACCTCACCCCAAGTTTACCAGTCATGGAACATAGCACCCCAACTAACCCTTTAACTCATGAAACAGAAAATGAAAATCAGGTAGGCAGTTCTGGCAGTAATGGAGGTCGAACGCTGAGTGAAAGTGACGCGGAACAAGAAGAGACAATCCCTCGTCGAACTACGCGAGTGTGACGTTCGCCAGATTGGCATAAAGATTACGAGAGACACTAAGAATTATCACGCATTATTTATAGTTATATGTTAGGCATAAACACTATGATGCCGTTAAACAATTTCGTTGGGACACAAAAATGTTAGTTATATGTTAGGCATAAACACTATGATGCCGTTAAACAATTTCATATTGAGAGGGAGATGTGGCGATGACATCATCGTTGATGTCACGTGAGTCATTGTTGTTGTCGAGTTTTTAGGCGATATGTTTTAGGCTCGAGACTGACAAGCTGAGATTCAGACATGTTATACTAATCGAAGTAATAAAGACTTTTGAGTAACAGTTATAAATATCGTTACACCAACAGGAACCCTTATGTATAATGAAGTAATAAATTATGAATTATTCTTGTTAAGGGTGAAACATGTTGAGATTCATGGGGTCAGCTACAGGCCAGGCTGTGCATTGCGGTTACAAGAAATGGACGACCTTGGGGAGAGAGACTATCCATCCTATGGGATAGTGGAGGAAATCCTAATCTGGGAAGATGGCAAGTTCTTTGTCGTGAAAGTGTTAGAAACTATAGCTTTCCACCATCATCTTATGTCTTATGAAGTTATTACCACAAACAAAAGTGTAGTTGTTGTACTTGGCAATTTACCCTGGCATGGGGTTTTGAACATTGTGAGAAAGAGTGGACAGTTAGTTGTTCATTCTTGGGAAAGATACTGCCAATATTGAAGGCATCTAAACAAGTGTATAAGGTTCAATTTGCACTCTAGTTTTAGGGACCAGTAGCTCTATAGCATTTTGGGTTATATAAATGTAATATTATATGATCACTCGTGCATGCGCAGTAGGTACAAAAATCAATGTATATGATTTAGGTTTAGTAGAATAAATTAAGGTGTGCCATAAAAAGTTATGTTTTTAAGGTGTGTCATACATAAAAAAGGTGTCTTTTTTCAAAGGTGTGTCATGAAAAGGTGTGTTTTTTCACAGATGTGCTAATGTCAAGGTGTGTTCTGTGACACACCATGGTGTGTTCTATCAGCTTCCACAAAGGTGTGTCAAGACTAAGGTGTGTTTTTCTGAAAACGATGTGCTACATGAGTACTTTCGTACCTTGATAGTACAAAAGTGTTGTAAAAATGTGTGTCATAACCAAGGTGTGTTTTATGGCACACCAAGGTGTGTTTGGGGACACATCTTGGTGTGTTTCGGGACACACCTAGGTGTGTTTTCTAACACACCTAGGTGTGTTCTTCTTATAAGGTGTGCCATACTGACACACAAGGTGTGTTCTAAAACGTTCGCTTCCTTTTCAGCTCCGAGCTTTTTCCTGCAATCAGTTTCTTCACCTGCTTCTCCAGAGACGTTTCCATATGAAGAACAGTTATCATCGCCTCTAGTTATCGGATTCAATGACGAAGATAGCTTATTACCTACTCTTTTCTCGACAAGAAGTAAGCAAACAATTCCATTTTCTATCAACCTAAAATCCAATCTGACAATAAAGAATAGATTTGATAAACCTAATTTGTTAACAATGCTTCATTTGCAGATATTTCACAGACTTGTGGATCATACACCACGCCAGAGTTGCCCAGTACTGGAGTGACAAAGATAAGGAGAGCTCTAGAATTTGATGAAACCCCCATACAAGGTAAGCTAAGTCACATGTACTCTAGATTGTGCACCTATTGCCATGTTTTTTCTATTTTCATTTGTCGTTTATATGTGGGAACTTATAGCCAGGCTGTGTATAAAAATAGAAAGTTGAGTAATGCGTATAGTAGGCACTGTTTTGCATATATAACAAACATGAAAAACATGGGCGTCAATCCTTTGGGAGATGGGGGGATGCATCCCCCCAGTTTTTGGAGTGTGGGGGATGAATATGTAATTATCCCCCCCCCCCACTTTTTGACATGGTTAATGAAATTTTGTTTCTTGGTTATCTAAAAACCTAATGCATGGTATGCTACTCATCAAAAATTGTGATTGAAAGGAAGATATTTAATAAGAAAAAGTTCAACGTATGATCTTTCTGTAGCCGCTAGGAGCAAATACTGACATCGCATATGTTATGTAAATTGTAAATATTTAAAAAAATAATTAACTTTTACAGCAGTTTCACGAGATTCACAACACCCCAACACAAAAGTTTGCTGAAGTACGTAATGTTTGTTTTTGACATGAGCTGATGTAATTTATATTACATCAGCTCATGCCGCATGTCAAAAATAAACATTACTTCAGTGAACTTTTGTGTTGGGGGGTCGCAAATCTTGTTAAACTGCCGTAACTGAGTTTCCCTTAAGTAGATGATTATCATCAAAATAAGGCAAATGGTTAATTTAATAGATTAGTATCATTAAAATAAGGGTGAGGGCATGTTAGCCTGTGAACAGATGTTATATACACTTGAGGAAGCGTGGGCTTCGTCGAGAGTAACAACTGTTCACAGGCTAGGACATTAAAAATGGATTTAAGATCATGCACATTGTAATATATAGAAGATATTACATGGCGGTGTGAAGATATGACTTTTATTTTCGAGTGGTGAAAATAAACAAAAAGATTGTGAAATTTCACGCTCAAAAGCAAATTGGAAAACGTCATGTGATCAATATCTTCACTAGTTAAGGTATTGAAAATATTTCACTGTGTATTTTTCAGTATCTCACTCTCTACTATATAATAAAAGTTTATAAGTGCCTCCAAAACGCTGGGAATGCCGCTTCAGTGTACCAAAATTTTTAAAAAATTTTGTGTGGCATACCTCCAGACCTTCCTAGTTCTTTCTGGGATAGATTGACGCCCTTGATGAAAAAAGTTGTGAACTGCCGAGAATTTAGGAAGGAAATACTGATTATACTATTCTCTAGGTTTACAAGTTTTTCATTTTTCTTTTCTGTAAATAAAAAGCTTGAGTTACTGTGGGGGATTTTATTATTCGATGCAATTACCGCTTGGATTGTGATACCTAAAATAGTAAGCTAGGTGCGAATCAAAGATTGTCTTGTTGCATACTGGTACTTGAAGAGTAATTATTTTAAATAAGTTTTGTGGTACTTTGTAAAGTTTTTCATTCTTTATCATGTTGAAATTTAGGTCATTTAGATGAATATTTTATTGTGTGCTGCAAATTGTACTTTGACCATTTGCATTTGCATACAACATGTCATATTTCTATTTTTATCTCCTAGGTAGCTTTTGGCTAATGTGCTTTATTTTGCCAACAATAACCATGCAGGGCCGGTTGTTCAAAGGTGGATTAGCGCTAACCCTGGGTTAAAATTTAACCCACTGTTTTAGTTTGTATTACTGCACATCTGTTTATTTCAAAAGTTCAAAGAAGTAATCTCCCATTGATCCAGACAAGATCTCTGAAGAAATATTTCCAAATTTATAGATATAAGCAGTCAGGAAGTTTGCTTTGAATTTTAGGTTAATCTAGAGTTAAGCTAACCCAACTTTGAACAACCGGCCCAAAGGTGTAACTTAACACTTTCCCGCTTGCCCAGGGCAAGTGAATATCATGATGGGCAAGTAAACGTTTTATTTTGCTTGCCTGATTGGTCAAGTTGCCTTGCCACGAAAAGCTAGGCATCTCTAATTAATTAAATTTATATTTTCATTGTCGGATAAATTTTTTTATAGTGCATGTCCTTGATTCAATTGTGGGCCAAAGTTATATCTGAGGCAGTATAACATAGCCATATAGAGCAGTGGTAGAACCCTTAATTTATACCCCCTACCTAGGTGCCCCAGTGGCCATTGTTTGATGGCAAGTGAATTTTATTCAGGGCAACTAATTTTCATGTCCAACTTGTCCTGAGGGCAAGTGGTCAAAAAAGTAAAGTTACACCACTAAACTACATTATCATATTTTAATATGTTTACATTTAAGTATAAAACTTAAGTATATCGTTTTAATATTTGTCTCGGTTTTAGCAGCAATTTTAGTCGCCAAACATGGTGATTCTTTTACATATTTATCACCAAGTTTTGTATCCAGGACCTTGTTAATTCCATATTCTCCCTATCATATGTCCAAAAACTAAAGTGATGGATATGCAGTGTGCCAAGTGGGTTTCGCAGGGTACGAAGGGATAGATTACCCTGATTTGTCAAATTTTACATATATTTTTATTTACATATATACCATCAGTAAAAAACATGTTATTTTCATTTGGTACTGGCCAATCCTAAATCACCAACTTGGAATTAATTAAAGTTTGAATTGCAAACATAGTGGACCAAATATAGCATTGCTCAAACAGTTGATTGTAATGAAGTTTTTCTCTTGTATTAATATTTTCAACATTGTCTTCGGGTGGGGAAGTAGAGAAATTCAAATTATGATATTATATTATCCACAACAATTGAAATCATTTTCTTGGGGAGTGAAAAGCGGGTGGTGTGGGTTATACTGTATGTTCTGAACATGTTTTTGTTGTTGCTTGCTTGCCTGGCTGACTGAAGTGCCCACCCTCTGACCCTTTGGAACTCATTAGTGACATCATTATAAATAATTAGATAACTGTTCAAATAAATAATTAAATATAGTTTCTCATACTAAGAAGTAACCAAAATCAAAAATAGGAAAAAACATAAGCCTAAGCCGAATTTCTTTAATTCAAATTTTAGCGCAATCTGGATCCAGGTGCTGGTTTCAAGGAAAGCATTTTTTGTTGATAGATAACTGCTTGGATTATACAGAAACAGCCAAACTACTCAGTTCTCATTGTGCCCATATTACCACATTTCTGTCCAAAGATGTAACCCATATAATAAAGACAACAAAAGTTCCTATCATTAATGGCAAAGTTGTCAACAAAACGAGATACAGTCGTGCAGAGAGAATTGTGCGTCTGTCGCTTAAGTCAGCCAACCGAAAGGAATGCACTAGTGTAAAACCTGTTAAAATGTCTTTTGCTTCACTTACAAAACTATCTAAAGAATGTACATTTTCTCCTTACAAAATAAGACAAAATTGAACTGTAGATTCAGCCAATGATATCACAAATGCAGAAGTGAGAACATTACAGAGGCAGTTTATTAAAGTTGAGGATGGAACTGGCATCTATAGGCCATTAATAATTGAAATGGAAGAGTGGCCGAGAATTTATTTTAACAGCGATTCATCACTTTCCCCATTTTCTAACCCAAATGTCAAAATGAGGCAACTTACCATAGGCAACAGAACGAAACAAAGATTATGTGAACTATGTAACATGTATTACAATGATGTACAACACCATGTACATGGCTGCCACCATCAAGCAAATGCAAGAATGCACGTTAACCCATCGAGCCACAGTGCATCCTATTCTTTTTTTACACCAGACGATTTTACTTGTCAAGTGGCCAAAGCTTCGCAGCTTAATGGATTAATGAAATAAAATTTTATTATTATGTTCAATTTCTCTATAGGGGTCTCCCAAGAAACATAAACAAGACAGAATTTTGGAGATAATAAAAGATGCATTGTTGCACACACAATTGTTTAAGATGCCTATCATATAAAGACATAAGTGAGGCAAATAATAAATTCAGATCACTCTCATCCATAATTCAGAAAGAGACCGATGGGTAAATTACTCTGAAAATCTTTGTACACTTCATCAAAAATACCAAAAAATACCAAAATCTTACTAAATCCCAGAATCCCCAAATCCCAAGAAATCTCTAAAAATTGCATAAAATACTTGGAAAAAGCCCAATAAAATCCTCAAAATTATTGCAATATAGAGAAATCCCATCAAATTTAAACATTTAAATTGTGAATTGGTGAGAAAATGCCCTTCGTTGATTTAGTTCGTTTTAAAAATAATTCGACGGATTATATGTCGCAAAACGTTTGGCAAAAAAATAAGGGAAAATATTTCGAAAAAATCAGCTGAAAAAACTAAAAAAATCCCTTAAATTTGGGAAAAGAATCCCGAGAAAAATTGCCGGGATTTTCTAATCCCAAAAATCCTCCTACGCTTTTTTCAGAGTAATTTAGCCCTCGAAAGAGACTACATTTGTAAGAGAATTTAGGTTCAAAAGGCTCCAAATCGTTTATAATACTTATTTTATTAACATATATACAACAAATTCACGACGAATATACACGAAAACTATCATAATGGCAGCTGTTCAATTCATAACATGTTTCTCGCAACGCGTGGCTACACTTAGATTAAGGTGAAAACATACAAAATATGTCACACTCCCCCAGTTGACCTGTACCAAACATACAAGTTCTGCTCAACATTAAACTATAAACAAATGTCAAGGTTAAATGAATTAACTTGCACATCATTAAAGTTATTAAATGTACTCATCTCTTATCCATTGCTTCCTGATCATATTTGCCATTTCTGCAGCTCTTCTTCGCAGTGTAGTCTCCTGTTGATCCTGAACCAACTGTTCTATATTGGCTTGCGTCTCGGGTACATTCACTGAGTTTGATTTGTCTTCTCCTTGCGATCTTACTTCCAATGAATATAGTTTATTGATAGGTCTCTTCAGGGCGCTATAAAACACAGGCGGGGAAATGCGCTAATAAATGACCGTGCTACGTGTGATGCACATTAGGATTGGCGCAAGCGCGCTTTCTCTAAAAAAATCAGAAAATCGTGTACAAGATGGCAACAAAAAAATGTAAACAAACAAACGAGAAAACAAAGGATTTAAATGCTAAATAATTATGTTTCATTAATTAAAATTTGAAATATTATTTAATAAGTTATATCATATGTAATATCTTGTGTTGTTTGTTACTGAACACTCGTTGAAAGAAAATATCAGGGCAAAAATTTTACTCGAGCGATGAAAATATTTGCAAAATTTAAAGCGCAGACGTATTTAAAATAGTGTTTTCTCCTCGTTGAGATAGGTTGAGATAAATTTGAACACACCAAACTATACACATTTAACTTGGCTTTGTGTCTCAAGTAAAATTGAACGGGGCTTTTTTGGGCTTTTTTCATAAAACGGAGATATCTTGCAGCCTTTATAGTTTTCCGTATACTCCACACGACAATAGATTTGCGACTACAATACTTATTTATGCAGATAATACGATATTTAAACAACACAAATTTTTAATTATCAATTAAACGAAATCACTTCCTGCCTCAAATACATACTATAAATGTTTATTGAAGTATCTAGTATCAGCTTATATTGCTAGAATTGGTATCTATTTCACTTGCAAAATGAACAAAGCGATTGTTGAGGAAAAGACATGCATTTTGAACTCGATTTTGACGACATTTTTTCTTTTTTGACAAAGCGCGGACGTATTTAAAATAGTGTTTTCTCCTCGTTGAGATAGGTTGAGATAAATTTGAACACACCAAACTATAGACATTTAACTTGGCTTTATGTCTCAAGTAAAATTGAACGGGGCTTTTTTGTGCTTTTTTCATAAAATGGAGATATTTTGCAGCCTTTATAGTTTTCTGTAACACTGTCACTGTAATGTCAACAACTGCAGTTGCGCGAAAAAAGATTACCGCTGAATATTTTGGAGTGTCGGCAGCAGTTAGTTATACCAATAATAGAAATGAAATCAATTAGTAAAAAACACTTTACAATGAACTTTCAATGGATTCCGAGCAGATTCCGAGCAAGTTTTCAAATTGTTCGAGCAAATGGTAGTTGTTTTTTTCAAATTCTAGCTGTTTTAAATGCATGCATGGTCTATATAATTATTGAAAAATAATAGGCAAGCAATGTCAGAATATTCTTACTGTGAAAATGTTTATCCTACCTTTGCATTATGAAGTAAAATATCCCATTTCATACCAAAATTTTCGTATAATATTTTTGGAATATGCCCACATTCGATCAGCTCGATTCCTTTTCAAATTTTTATTTCGCTCATGATGAATCTTTTTAAAGCCCTCTTTCCTTCATCAGATATACAGAAAATGAATCCAACAATGTCTTCAAACCATGAAGTTGTTTAGGAATGTGCAGAAAACAGTTTTTACTTTAGTTTTTTCAGCTCTTTTTTGCATAAACATTCCAATTCCATTTTTATTGACATTAAATTAATGTATACGGGGGGTACGCGCATCACACAAAGATCAGGGGCGCTATCTCCGTTTCACCGCCCGTGTTTTATAGCGCCCTGGTCTCTTCAACTGGTTTGCTTTCTTTCCTTCTCCATTAACCTTTACAATTACTTTGTGGTCATCAGCCTTAATCAGTTTCTCAACCTTTCCCAATTTCCACGATCCTTGACGCTGATTATCTTGATGTACTAAAACCATTTCTTCTATGCTTATTTCTTGAGACAACAAATTCTGGGAAGTGTTACGAAGGGGTTCTCGTAGCTCTAACAGATATTCCTTTGACCATCTGTTCCAAAATTTGTCAATCAACTTCTGTAAATAAACAACATGTTTAGTGAATTCTTCCGATTTAGGATTCCAGTCAGGATCTATTAGCTCAGATGTATCGCCAGATGGCACAGATAAAATTTGTCTTCCACAAAGTAGGTGTGATGGCATTAAGGTTCCTCGAGATCTTCGGTAGAAATATAAGTTAACGGTCTTGAATTTAAGACACACTCGATCTCTGTAAGTATAGTTAGTAGTTCCTCATAGGTGACACATGCCTTCCCGAGTATTTTCTTCAGACACCGCTTTACTGACTTAACTAATTGTTCGAAGAATCCTCCTTGCCAAGGGGCCTTAGGAGTATTGAATGACCACTCAATCCGTTTGATCTCCATATGATGTCTAACTTCGGGAAGTTGAAATAAAGCCTTTAATCTTCGGGACACAGTTACAAACGTCTTGGCATTATCAGAAATCATTCTCTTGGGAAGTCCTCTCCTCACACAGAATCGTTGAAAACACAATAGGAAAGATTCACTAGTCATGTCCAAAACGAGTTCCAAATGGAGAGCTCTCGTGACAGTGCATGTATAAAGGGTGATCCAGATCTTTGTTTGTGTCTTGCTCTTCTTTGATTCTTTGACATACAGCGGCCCAGCAAAGTCAACTCCAGTCGAGGCAAAGGGTGCTTGTCGTTGTGTTCGAAACTCTGGCAAAGCTGGGGAGGCAGGTAGGGAATATTGTTTACACTCGTGTTTCTTGCAAACCATGCACCTGTGAATTAACTTCCTTACAAATTGTCTGCCACAAATTATCCAAAACCTCGGGCGTAGTTGTGTAAGTGTCCCTTTAACACCGTTGTGAAACACACGACTATGGGATTCCTTAACTATTAACTCGGTTAATCTATTCTTTGCGTTCAATAGAATTGGATGTCTGGTTTCGTCAGGAATGTTCGCTTTCGAAATTCTTCCCTTGCACTTGATGATTCCATTCTTATCCCAGAATAATCCAAACTGTTTTTTCCACATTTCAAACGAAGGGTGATTTGGAAGATCTAATTGGACTTGTTTAAACCATAAAATTTCTGCGATTTCAGCTTCAGAGTTCTTATTCTCTTCGGCTCTTAAATGGGCTTTCTTCACTCGTCGAATAAATTATAAAACCATTGATGTAACAGTAATAAGCTTCTGGTAACTGCTAAACCTTCGTACGTCAATAATGCTCTGGATCTGGTAACTTGTTTCGGTGCATATGAGTAAACAAGTGTTCTGAAATGCCTTTCGATCATTGGCTTTCATTTCTGTAATACATTCTTCCGGACATTCTTCATTATTCTTCCCTCGCTTTTGATATCCTTGAGCATCCATTGAGGACCATTTAACCAGGTTTGAAGTGCGCCTGAATCAGTGGAGGTTGCTCCTCTAGAAGCAATGTCCGCAGGATTTACTTTGCCGGGGCAATGTCTCCAGCATTTCAATGGTACCAATTTTCTTATCCCAACGACACAATTTTGAACAAACTGTTTCAATTCTTGGGTTTCACCAAGTATCCAGTACAGTGCTACCTTAGAATCAGTCCAACAGGTTGGATCATCAAGCTTTAGGGTTTCGTTCAAAGCCCTTGTAACGGTTGAAATAAGTCTTAGTATGACTGTTGAAAGAAGTGCTAATCTTGGAATGGTTTGTTTGTTAATTGGAGAGACTCTTGTTTTGGCAATAACAAATCTTATAAATGTTCCCAGTGAGGTAGTCATTTTCAGATAAACAACAGCTCCATAGGCTTTAAGGGATGCGTCACAAAATCCTTGGAGGCTGTAAGAAAAAACCCTTTCTTCGATTCCCGCTTGATAACATCTCGGTATCAGGGTCGATTCTATCTTTTCCAGGTCTAGGATAAGATGCTCCCACTTCTTCTTTAGTTCGCTTGATAATTCTTCGTCCCATTCAACTTTAGATTGGCATAGCTCCTGAAAGAACATCTTTAATATGACTGTTATGGGTGCGAGGACTCCCAAAGGGTCGTAGAAACGGGATATGATACCAATGACATTTCGTTTTGTGGGCTCAAGTTCTCGAGCTGCTTGGACTATTCGCTGAAAATTGAATATGAATGTGTCACTGACATAGTTCCACCGAATTCCCAGAATCTTCTCTTCCCTTTCCAACAGTACTTCTTGGGGATTACCAACTGTTGATTTGGAATATGATTTATCCTCAGGACAGACATCGTTGACCACATCTGTCGTTGACTGACCGATGGTAGGGGTTTCTTCATTTTGCTGTATTCTTTGCATTAGGATAGGAGAATTAGATAGAAACTTGCGAAGATTGAATCCGCCTTCACTTAGCCATTGTTTTGATTTAATATACAGTTCATAGGCTGCGTTGTCATCCTTGGCTCCAGAACTTAAATCATCGATGTAAATGCCACTCAGAAACTTCTGTACAAACTCCGGGTCTTCTTCCTGATATTTCTCAATGTGATGTGTGAGTGTCCCATTCAACAAAAATGGACTGGCTGTCACCCTGAATACTACACACGTAAATCGATACATCATAATCTTAGGGTCATCCTTAGTAATATCGTCAACCCAGAGAAATCTCAAGACGTCTCCATCTTCCTTTGCAATGGCAATCATCAAAAACGCTTTTTCAATGTCTCCGACCAATGCTGTTGGATGACACCTGAATCTCAGCAAAATGTCTACGATATTCTCAGCAAGTGATGGGCCAGAGAATAGGCAATCATTAAGAGAGGGGCCCTCGGATTTCGTAGAGGCATCGTAGACTATCCGCAATTTTTTTGTTTTCTTGTCGCGACGGATGATGGCATGGTGTGGTAAGTAATGGACACGACTTGCATTGGTGGTGGATGTTTCATCAACTCTTTCTATGATTCCTCTAGCTATCTGCTCCTGCATAATGTTATCGTATTCCTTCAGGGTTTTAGGATCTTGTTGGAGTCTCCTTAGGAG